ATCCTCACCTCCCTTTGTCCAGCTGAAGGCTTTTTCAGCATGTTTATTTTCTCTGAGCTCCGTGGTGCTCTTGAATACATATAAAGTATTACAGCTGACCGTGGGGAATTTCAGCGTGGCCCTTAATGGCATATTTGCATAGAGCTGTTGAAGCCCAGGCACACCTGGGCATCACAGGAGGCTCCAGTGGTTTTATGTTAGCACCTCGGTCTTCCATCAGAAAAGAAATGTGGATTAAGATAAGGAAGAAGAAGAAAAGATCAACCCTGTAGGTAGTCCATAAAATTAAACTTCAGATCCGTGCTGCTGTTCCCACGCTGTATTGCGGCAGCGGAGCAAGACCGTTCGTGTAGAAGCAGGCTGTTAAAATGCAGATTGTACCCAGGTTCAACTGTTTTTCTAGTTCATCTGTCTGAGCCTTGTGGATTTAAATTTGTAGTGTTGGGATGTCATCGGTACAGGTTGTGTTATGGTCACGTCAGGAAGCTCCTGGGGGCAAATGCATGGTGAGAAACAGCCCCTGCACCACGGCACCTTTAGGGAGAAGAAGGGGAAAAAAGGGGCACCCAGAGGCGGAGCAATGCTCCCAAGGTTGGCAGAGCATGGAGCTGAATCCTGAAGCAAGTACCCTGAGACCTCCCCGCAGGGTCCTTTCCGCTGCGTTGTCTCCTGGTGTTGGGTTAGGAGATCTGCTAGGTGCTTATTTTGGTTTAACGCGCGCAAGAAGTTGGCGATACGGTGAGGAGGAGCGGTATAAACCTCAGTCTTGTTCCAGCTGGACCAACGTGCTCTGGGGCTGCCATCCCATCGCGATAATTTATTTGCAGGTTTCCTTTCAGATTGCTTTGTTTTCCATTCAGAGTTAAAATAATAAGAATGAAACCCAGACAGCGTCTCAGCCTGGCTATTACGTGAACAGGAGGGAGAACAAATGAAAATACCCCAGCAGTCTCCAAGGCTGCAAACGTGCACTCTGTGACCCAAAATTTCACGTTAAAATGATCTGTCTCGAGGGCTTCTGGCTGAGGAGGCGAGCAGGAAAAGACAGTAGTTTCGCGTCACCTTCATGCATCCCAGCCCGACGACCGCGGAGGCTCCAGAAGCGCAGTAATGGCCACGTCGGTTCGGTTAAGTTGCCTGGGAGGAGCAGGGGCTGAGCTCAGAAATGGATCTTTTTCCTGGTGTTTCTGCACTTTGGTGGGAAATGAAGATTTCTGAGGATGGTGCTGCCGTTGGTTTAAGCTGAGAAAGGGGTGATGGGGCGCAGAGCCCGCCCCATTCCTCTGGTGCTGTAAGCGAAACATTTTAAATACGCCGTGATGGGGCTGTGTCAAGTTCTCTAACCAGGTAATGGGGTCTTCCCTATGGGGAAAACCCCTAATAATTTTATTTATTTGTTTTTTAAAGGCTGCTTTGTACAGTAGGCCAGGATTTGGCTTTTCCATCCATTGGTCCTCAGCAAGGTTGGGTCCCTCCCTGCCTTAGGTGGCTCCTGCCCCCTTTGCCCGTGCAGTGTCCGAATGCGCTCCCGTCTTCCCAGGGCCTTTGATCCTGGCGTGAAAGAGGCGTCGAAGGCAATGGGAGAAGTTGCTTTATGAGGTGCTGTGGTGTGGTGAGGAGCCTGGATGTTAGCTCAGACGTGATGCCTAATTTTTTGGAGACAAACGTGACTTGGAATTGGATCTCCCCCATTTATAGGCAAGCAGCTTGTCCTCGAAGGGCAGGTTTGAGAAGACTGAAGTTTTGCTCTGCTTTTCCCCCAGTCTCCCTGGGGGGTCCCAGCCTTTCCTCTTTTTTGGCTGGCACGGTGCGGGCGGTGCCTGTTACGCTTCCCGCAGCCTTCCCTCCTCTGCCGCTTTGAATAATTTATCCGCAGGAAACCCATATTGCCAAGGCACCAGCCCAACACGTGCCAATTCCGTCGTATTGTCGGCTTGTGGCGGCGGCGTTAGCGAGCTTGCTCAGCGCACGCCGACGGTGAAAGGCTCATAAATGTAATGAAGTCCCTTTGACACCTGCTCCTCTCCACACTTTAAACGTGAGCCATTGGTCCGCAGGGAACCGGGGCTTTAAAAATAGAAATTATAGTAATTGTCTGCTGTGTTATTGGGAAGATTGTAATAAACGTGGAGCACAACACTGCGGTGCCACGAGCTGAATGCTGACAGGATGCATAAATTGCTCTGGGTTTTGATTTTTTTTTTTCCCCTTTTGTTTCCCCCCCTGCCCCCCTCCAATCTCCCCATCTAACAAATCACATAAATCATCGCGCGTTAACGCTGCGTTTCCAGAGGGCGGCAGCGGGCGGGCGAGAGGCACCCGGGGAAATTTCCTCCCTCCCCTTTGAGGTGTTCTCAGCTGCGGTGCCCCATCGCCTGGGGACCTCCACCCCCTCTTCCTCCTTGCCCAACAGCCTCCCGCCCTCCTCACCACCCCCAAACCTCAGGGGGGGACAACAGAGGCCCAAACTGAGCGGTGAATCCTTTGAGGGTGATGGGTGAGGACCCCCAGCCCCTTCTGCTGTGAGCAGAACCCTCGAGAGTTTCAAGGATATATGTGGTGGCATATATCACCCTGCATCCTCCCCACCGCCAGCGGAGCAGCTCGTGCTCTGCGTGCGTGTCCCTGCCTGCTCCTCGACCAGGAGGAGCCGCTGCTCGTGTCCCCCCGCTTCTTTCGGGGGTGCCAGAGGGTTGGCTGTGGAACCTCCTCGTTTTGGGATGGCACAGGGGCTGGTTGCATCCCTCTCCAGTTGGGACTTGTAGAGAATGCTCCAGAGAGAATTTGGTTTTATTCTGTCAGATCCCACTTGGAAATGGGCCTTCCCCCCTACTTTTCTCTCTCCTTCTTGTTATCCCAGGAGGAAATGTCCCAGATGGCGACACAACAATAAAACCCAAATTGTGTTGCCCCCAGCCTCCCAGGCTATGATCCTGCCGTGCCCCCTTGGCATTTTGCTGCCGAATGCACCCGCCTGCAGAGGGAGCATCTGTGTTCGGGGTGAGATGTAATAACCGGCTCTTTGACCGCTTCAGCAACTTCAGCGACAAGTTTCAGGAACCCCCAATTTCTACTATTCCTGCCCAATCTTCTTGCCCCCCAGCGCAGGGCCCCTGGCATAGCCGGATTTCAAAGCTTCCCCCCAATGCCGGGGCACGGGCGCGGAGCCCGCGCCGAACCCCAGAGGTGGCTGCACTTCAGCCTTCCGCTACCTTGTGGCATGTTGTGATGTTTAATTAATATCAAACGCTTTGAAGTCCCTGATGTTACTTATTCATGCCCGTATTCCCCGCGGACCCTCCTGTTTGATGTCCACATCGCCGAGGTTATTTAGATGCAACTCTCTTTTGTGTCAAATTTAAGCAGCGAGGAGAGATCGCTCTTTAGGGCGCTACAAGAAAAGTTGTCCTTCCTGGGCATGAGATCAGCTTATTGAGAGCATATTCAGAGATTTCTGGACAATTATATGTGCCAGGTACTCACCTCGGTGCTCACAGCACTTCTGGGGTGCAAATCCAGAGGAATCGGTTCTGGCCCTAACGGCTGAGACCTCAGACCCAGCCCTTTCCCCCCACGGGCCATCACATCTGGGTGTTTGGCCCCCTGCGGTACTCAACCAGCAGAGAGTCCTTGTTGTGTCCCAGGATGTGGAAATCTAATTCCAAGCTGCTAAATTTGGGCACTGTGGGTCGAACAGTAAAATCAATGCAAGAAGCCTCTGTCTCAGAAGCGCGGGAAAGCTTTCCCGGCTGCCCAGGTATTTGCACAGAGCCACAGCCACATGTGAGACGGTCCTTTAACGATAATTTTCTTGTTATCTTTCAACAATTATATTTTTTTTCCATTCCAGATGAGTTTAGAAAATGACGATAAGCGAGCACGCACGCGATCGAAGTCTATCAGAGGTGAGCAGCTGGTTATCCCGCAGCGCGGGCATGGACAGGCCTGCACTTTGCTTATTCCAAATAGGCTTTGATTTTTTCAGGTCCAGGCTTAACTCTTTAAGTTACGCTCACTGCCCCCCCCCCCTCTCCAACCCCACCAAAATTTGTCTACAAACCGGGAAAACTCCCAACCGCAAACCTTTACGGGTCCTCAGAGTATTTAACCCTCATCCCCTACACCTAGGAGAAGGAAAAAAAAAGGGGGGGGGTGGAAAAAAAGCCCCTTTGCATGCTTTGCTTTAGGGGGATGGCAATCACTGGAGCTTCAGATCAGCTCCTGGGGCTTTCATCATGCACGCTCTGCCGGCGGCTTTGAAGTTGCACATCTGAGAGTGCCTGGCAGAAGGAGCGCAGGCTGGAGAAGCAAACAGGGCTGTCCCCCGGCAGGGACGCGAGGACAAATGCCTCGTTAATGCAGAGCTTGGTTGTTATTTATTTTTGCTATCGGTCTTCCTTCGCGTGCTTTCTCTCTGGGAGAAGGCGAGGGGCTCTGATACGGAGCACAGGGTGTCCCCTCGGGTGGTCCCATGGCTACGAGAGATGGCTACGGACTGGCCTCTCCGCTTTGGCTCCTTTTTGTGGCTGTGGATGCGATGGATGGCAAAGGTCTGGAAGAGAGGGATGAGCAGGGCTGGCCGAAAAAGTGCGATGGCTGCAGGGACTG